GCACCGAGGACGCAGTGTGTGGTTGTGTAGAGAACTGCCTCCTATATTATMATCCTATATTTCCTTGGACAGCCACTGGACTGCCAAATGAATAATGTCGCATTTTCGCTCCCCCTGGTAAGCAAGGGCTGATTGTAAGACCATTAGAAAAGGGGAAAATTTTACAGTCTTCTCAGTTTCTCTGGGGTCACAGTGTAATTGTGTGGTGGGAGAAACGGGGCCCTAGAGATGGCGTGACAGTCACTTCTCATTACCTCCCACTTGGTTCATTACGTCTGTAGACAGCGATTGCCCGTGTGTGGATACTTCCATTACACGGAAGGATGTAATGTGCTGGAGACCTCGCACAGCTTTCAAATGGGGAGAAGCCTGTTTATTCCAGGCACATACCTGTCTTACTTCCAGGGGCCGTGCCACAGGAATGGAAAGCAACATTCAGAATAGATCAGAGGTGAYCAATAAAGGAGAACCAGGTCCCATGCATGCTTCTACCCAGTGAGATATTTGCATGTATGTTCCACCAACAAAACACTCACACAACGGACAGAATCCTCACTCATAAATCTACCAGATTTTATTTTAGCAAGCAGCTTTMTTCAGGTGTACTATACCTAGGCTTCTTTGTGTAGCACTTCTGGACTGGCAATCATCCTATTCTCTTTCCCACCCACACAAAAAATATAAAAGATCTTCCTCATTTCACAATTGCAGGGACGAGTCCTGGGAATCATGAAATAGGAATACTATTTTAGACCATTTTTGCTCAGGAGTGTAAAAAGCCCCAATTATAAACTAAGGGGAGTTCACAAGAGAGAAAACACAATTATAGTAAATTAGAAAGTGTTAATATCAGTAATTTTTAAAAAGTATTATAGACCTTCCCTTTAAAGAAAAAAAAAAAGCACTTCTGTCCCCCACCAAGTTAATAAGAGGTGCCTAAAAAGAGATGATGCCCTTGATGGAATAAATTTGGAAAACCACATACTACATCCTACTGTTGGGAACTCACAATGTCAGCTTTTTAAAGGTTCTGAGAATTACTATTATAAAAAAAAATCATTTAACTCACTGTTGCCTTAACTAATTCAAATAACACTTTTTGGAACTGCCTTCTTATTGACTTCCTGTGGGACACTTATCATGACAGCAGGGGAAATCCTGTTCTACTATAGTCCCATCATTTTCTGTAGATTTCCAGTGTGCTAGTAATTCTCAAATTTTAGCATACATGTGGATCTAATCCCTAGCAATCATTCAGAAAACTGGGTAAGGCTCCAGCACCAGAATATCCAACAAGCACTCATAACTCAAGGCAGCTCATGGCCCACTCTGAGAAAGAACAATCCACACACACACACATGCCCTTTGTCTGAAGTCACGAGGGATTAACTATACCCTGTTAACAAGAAAGCTTGACACTTCATAGGTTGGAAGTCTGTAGCTTTGACTCTGGAAGTTGACCAAGTTCCTCATAAAAACACAAGGGCTTTTGAATTGAAAATGAATGTCTTCATGAATTTACAACAACTGAAGGTTCATTCACCTTTGCCCCTGGCTTTAAAGGTACATCCCTTTTACTTTCAGATTCATCTATTCACTTGCTTCGCTAATCCAGCTTTATTCATTTATTCACTCAGATTATTTACCAAGTACTCTCTGTGTGTCAGACACTGGCTGAAACACTACGAATATTCAATGAATGAAAGTGACAAAAATCCTCATCCTTGTGGGCTCACATCCTAGCAAGGGCGAGAGACAACAAAACATCATCGACATAATAAATTATATACTAAGAGTTAGAAGGTGATAAGTCTTACAAATGAAATAGATTCGGCTAAGAGACGTGAAGAGTATGGGTGGTCTGAGGGCAGAAAGATGTAATTTTTGAAAAGGCAGAGGAGAATATGGCTTAATGAAAGTCACATTTGAGTGAAGTCCTGCAGCAAGAAGTGGAGATGGCCTTATTAGCTATGTAGAGAGTCCATACCTACAGAACAATGGACGCACAGGAAGCTCCTCCTATGAATAAGCAAGAAGCCACTGTAGGGTTTGTGGGACTACTGAGAATGGGACCAGAAAGAAGGAAATCCCACCACAGAGGTAGCAAAACCTAGATCTGCCAGGGGGTTGACTTTTACTCCAAGTGAAATGAGAAGCTATTACAGCATTTGGAGCAGAGAAATGAGATTACCTGGCCATGTTATTAAAGAATCTGAATTTATTTAACATGGATTAGGTTTCTAGCGAATGCCAGGCACTGGGATTAAGGCCATGTGCACAGAGATGAACTGAGCAGAATCCTGGCCCTCAGAGTTTCTGTACCTCTGGTATAGCTCTTTGCAGGTTGGCGTGTGAACATTTCAAATCTATTGTCCTTGCCTCTTATATAACCAGATCTCTACTCACTTCCCATCTCACCACCCACATTGCACGCCTTGTCCTGGGGCTAAAGCAGGAAGACCTGGGATCAGATCAGCCAAGATGCTCAGGTGGCCCTACCCTGAACATACTATGTGACCCTTGGCAAGACATTTCTCCCCTTTTTTCTTGGCTTCTCCGCCTGTTTACACAATTTTCTGTAGAACTATGTTTTTTTTTTTTTTTAGGTCTGATAAGATAACCAGCACTGATTGCTTTAGGGTGTAATGAAAAACTGACAATTTTAATTTTCCTTCAAATTATCATACTCTAAAATAAATAGAGTTGAGAAGATTCTCCAGTTATTCAATCTGGCAGCCCTGCCTCAGCTGAAGACAGTCTACAAGTTGGCAGACCAGAAGCGAGGAAAAATTATCTTAGTTCCTGGAGATAAAACCTGTTAGTTATCAACAACTGAAATTGAGAGAGAGGGTCCTTTGGGGAAAAGCCATTTGCAGCGCAGTCTCCTTTTAGAACTCAAACTTGCTTGCCTCCTGCTAAATTCTCTGTTAAGGAAGGATGTGAAAAGTTACATTTAACTTCGGCTTCCAAGGTTAATTCTAAATGATCAGGCATGGCTTGTTCTCCTCACCTGTCAGTCATCAATAGTGACTTGAGATTAAAAACCCCCATTCTGAAGAAAGAGAAAATAAAATGACAGATTTCAAGGAACATTGTTCAGTAAACCAGAATTACTATCAGGGCTGTGTTTGCCTTCAGTATGCATATGCAGCCTTTGTGAAGAGCAACACCATTTTTATCAAATGCTTATGATGTAATTTCACCGAAATGGGGGGAATTCAGAGATTTGGCAAGCAATTGGGAACAGAGAAATGCAATACAATGCTATTTCAGCCTGCGGTCTGCATTGGAGCTGAGCTACTCCAGATGTTTCTCTTTTGTCTTCTTTTAATGGTTCCTCTAAATACCACGTCTTAGTATCAGCCAAGGCAGCAAAATTTACAACATACTAATTAATAGCAAGATGCTTAGCTAAGCAATTCTGTCTCGGAGTATGTAATTATATTTTTAGAATTTAATTTTTTTTTCCTTTTACCTTTCTTCTGCTGGATTTTACTAGTAGAATAAGGCAGTATTAGGAACATATAAAATCTGAATGTTTACCCTTAAATGCCATCCTATGATATGGATAGTTACATTTATTTCAGAATATATGTATCAAATTTCAAGTTGTGTTTATATATTGTTGACAATTTTTGCTATCAAACGAATCTCGATAAAATTGAGAACTAGGAAAAAAAATCTCACGTGAGACAATCATGATTAATGTCACTTAAGCAATCAGAAATATGCATGCATCTCATCCTTCACCCTATTTCTATTGGTTGTATCAGTTATAACCTCAAAATTAAGACAAGTTGTAAAGGAAATAAAAACTGCAACTCACATACACACACCAAAAAAACACAAACTAGGGGTTATATTTCCATAGTACTTCTCACCATTATTTTTTCTTTTACCCTAAGCAACACTCTAACTTATTTTATTTTTTAAATACAAGTGAAATTAGTTACTTTTCTTTGTTCTGGAACTCTTGAATTTCAGATTATCAGTAAAACGTGTTGCACCTGCCCTGCCAATCCCCAGCATTGGAGCAGTCCAACTGTTAACTTTCTCAGTTCATAATTCCAGGCAGCTGGGTGTGGAGAGAGGAAAAAGAAACACATAACCCCATTTACTGGCACTCTGACAAATCTGTTCTCCAACATCAGCTGGAAGGCCCTCAGTGCTACTGGCAGTCCTTTTATTTGTCCCCAGTCAGCGCCATTTCAGACTTGCCTTACAGATGTTTCAAACTCTGTGGTCCCCTCATTCTCATAGGTGACCTTGCTCATATATCACAGAGTTCCTCTCCTTCCCTCAACCAACTGACTGACCCACAAGGATACCTCCCCTCTCCCTCCCTTTCTCCTAAATCAAAGAGCGCTCTTTTCTAATCCCCAAAGCTAATGCTTGTGTAGAATATCCATTCCCCCATCTCTTCAGACAGCTGCAGGGATGTCATTCCATCAGTTTCCCTCACACTTTGGTGTCATTTATCCCTGCTCTCTGCACTCTGGCTTCTACCCTCTGGTCTGCACCTTTGCTCAACTTTTATCTCCTCACCATCCACACGCCCACAGAAACAATTCTTTAATTATTTTAGCCTCTTGCTCAGGCTGCAAATTGCCTTGTATAGTAATTATCTGTTTACATGACAGTTTTCTACTGGTCCAGTGGTTTTTAATCGTTGTTGTGTCACAGATCCCTCGAGACCCTGATTAAGACAATGTACTGTCTCTGGAGATAGGCACATAACTGCATACACACACACACACACACACACACACACACACCCCTCATGCATACAATTGCAGGCTGCCTAATGACGGACCCTCTGTAGGAGATATTACTTCTGCTGGTCAATATTTTCAGTTCTACCCTCCTGCCAGGCACACTGGAGGAGTCTACTTCCTTGCTGACTTGAGACAAATCACTGCTTTGGCCAATGGAATGCAAGTGGAAGTGACGTGTGGGGAAGTTTCAAGAACCTGTGTGCAATTTGCCTTTTTTTTTTTTTTTCTGCCACCAAAAACTGCTGTCAGTCTGGGTTCCAGAGTGAGGCGGACGGAGCAGAGCACCTAGACCACAGCAATGGACACGTAGAGTAAGTAGAAAATAAACCTAGTGTTGAGAGGGGTTGGGGGACATCAGTCACTGCTGCTGGAGTGCGGCTCTCTGGCTGGGTGGCAGGGCACTGTCTGCTAGACATGCAAAAATGTAAGTCAGAAAGGTCGTCCCTAGGAGAGCTTAAGCTACTCTTTGCTTTTTCTAATCAACAAGTTCTTTTCACCACAGAGCTGCACACTTTCTATGGTACTCATTTAGTAGCCGCTTGCCTGGTTCTTTCCAAGACTTCTTGTCCTTCAGATTTTACTCCTTAGAGAGACCTTCCTTGGCCTCCCCTGCCACTCCCGATCCAGCCTGTGACTGTCATTTGTATCACCCGTTTCTTCCTTTCACGAAGTGWGTCACAGCCTGTACTGATCTTGTTTTTCTGTCTCTTCGGTTCTGAATTCACAGTACCGACTTCTTGTTATCAACCATGATTCATGGATAATGAGTATCGTGCCACTCTAACCTTGTATGAACTTAAGGGAATGTGCTCAAAATTCGGACTATTTTCGTTCATTAAAGATGATAAAAATAGAACCTCGAATGTTCTATTGCATGTCACATTTCACTCATTTCTAAACAACATTAATAGAACAAGCTGTAACTAAAATATTGGACAGACATCCAAATATTTGAATTTGCATCAAGAACCACTGAACCTTGGTATTCGACTTGTCACTATGAAGAGGTCAGCTTGACTTTCTGGGTCCTTTTCAGAGAGCTGTGGCCAGTAGCCCTAACAACCTTTGGTCTGTACCCAGTTAAATAGTGGGTTTTTTGTAATTCGTTGGCATCCAGTTTTTGCTTTGTTTGATTTTTTTCCTCTTTGCTCAGCATATATGCCAAATGTCTTTCTTCAGAGCTATAAAAAAATTAGTCCTGAAAGCTTCAGAAAGTATTGAAGGGCTAGCTCTTTGTTATGCATCTAGTGACACCGGTATACTACCTTGTCACATAATAAATAGTTCATACTTGTTTAATGAATGAAATCAGTATTATGAACATACCAAATATTTGTTTCATTTGACTTTACCGAGTTTACAGTCATCAAAAACAGCAACTGGGGCCAGGGTTGTGGCTCAGCGGTAGCGTGTTTGCCTAGCATGTATAAGGCACTGGGTTTGATCCCCGGCATCACATAAAGATAAATAAAATAAAGGTGTCATGTCCATCTACAATTAAAAAAAAAAACTACATAAAAAACCTAGCAACAATTGTAATTTCAAAAATGAAATGTTTTACCTGAACATGAAAAAGTAACATGTTTATTGTTAAAAAATTTCAAAACTGCAAGACTTAAAATCAACTGTGAATTTCCTTGTTATTGTCTTTATAAGATGTGTTAGACACACCTGACATTTGAGAAGAGATTCAGAAGTTGTAACATGCCCTTCTATCATAAAAGAGGTTATAAAAAAGATTCACTAGAAATCTATACCTCTCAGATACTCAATTTCATCTCAGTTTTAGGATCTTCTGAAATGATTATTAGGATAAATTTAAGTCTTGATGAGAAAAATCAAAATGTTTTCAAATTGCTAAAGAAATAAACTTGGTTTAGAAACAAAAGGAGCTCCGTTTAAACAATAATTCTATTTTCTTTAACTTTCTCTTATGCGACAGTGTGCGTTATAAAACAGTATCTCTTAAAATAAGAAACATGCCCTATTACTCTAGGTCTTATGTAACATAATTGGTATATGATAACTACATTTTTTCTATGTATTTTATACAAAAAATCCACATGTGCAACTTTTGTAACATGGATTTCTTAGGCTGGTGCTAGGCATTTTTTTCCTTCTTAAATTGTTTCAATTTTTAATAGAAGATTATGAATGATTTGCTACCATGTTATAAGATAATGTAAGTAATGTCTATAAAATTGAACATGCAAACGGGTTTCTGTACATGTGTGTAGGATAGGGCTTTGGAAAAGTTGTTTTGAATACAAGTCATTTCTCAATACAACACCTCCTTCCTGTTTGACTAGAAAATCAACCAAAATATGTAACTTCTACAGAAATAGTTGCTATAGAAATGTAAAGGGCACAAATAACACTGAACTGTGCCATCAAAAATTGCAGTTTAAGTAGGACAGTATCAACATTTATGTCTAATAATGCTGACTGCACGGATTCTTATACATTCCCTAAAATGAAAGTGCTGAGTCCCAAGTTGGGAGGTCCTCTATTACTAAAAATAACACATCTAAATGAAAAAAATTTAGTAAACTTCCAGATTAGAAATTCAATACATAACAAGAAATATTCCTTTATACAAAATGATGAAAATTTAATGAATAATGGATTCAAATGATGCCCATTGCTTTTCTTCATTTCATTGTATGAACCAAAAAATAAGCTGTTTCCTACACAAGATTTGTAGACACCTTGACTCACAGGAGTAAATGTTTCTTCAGGTTTCTACATGTCTGTCATTTAATTTGCTAAAGAGCTCATTTTGAAATTATGTTCTGTGACAGCATTTAAGGTAACATCAACCTTTATGTTTGTTAAGAAAAAAAGAATCATAGGATGAATCTCTTAAAACATTTGGCTCCGTTTTGGGCTTTTTGGCATGATACTTAAAATACTGAATTGCTAACAAGGCATCTGGTATATATAAAGGTGACTGTTAAACTCTTCTTGCCTTTGATCTTGCCAATTAAGTTTTATAAGAGAAAAAGTTCTATCAGCCAACTTAAAGATTATAGCTTGAGAAAGAAGTTATTTTAGAAGTTTGATACATCCTGTGTTCTAACACTAAAATAACCTTACTTTTAAAAATATGACACTAATATACCCATTCATATTATAAAATCTAACTCCTGGTTTATGATATTATCAGTACAATCAGCTTTAAAAACACAGGAGGGTGGGTGCTATAGTTTTGATCTTAAATGTTTTCCCAAGACCCATGTGTTAAAGGGTTAGTCCCCAGGATGTGGGAGGTGTTGGACCCTTTAAGAGGGGGAGCCTAGCAGGAGGTCTTCAGGAGGTTGGAGGTATACCCTTGAAGGAGACAATAGGACCCCTGGCCTCCTTTTGGCTCGCTCTTTAGCTTTCCTGCCACAAGGTCAGTGACCACATGCTTCTGCCATGATATGCTGCCTCATCACAGGTCTAGAAGAATGCAGTTAGCCAATCAGACTGAAACCTCTAACATAGTGAGCAAAATAAAACCTTCATCTTGATAAGTTGATTACCTCAGGTATTTGTTATAGTGACAGACATCTGACAAATACAGAGAGAGAGAGAGAGAGAGAGAGAGAGAGAGAGAGAGAGAGAGAGAGAGAGAGAGAGAAGGGAGAGTGAAAAGTGAGAGAGGGGAAAGAGAATCCTCTTTCAGAAAATAGAACAATGGTCACTCCTCTACCTTCTTCCCCATTAGTAAATATGGATACCAATTTCAATACACCTATTTTACCTGTATGATTATTATAATAAAATTCTATCTGAATCTGCATCTTAGTAAACTGAGCTTTTCTGATTCGGCTTCAAAGCATGTAGAGTATGGGTTGCGATATAGGATAGGCAAGAGTTCAGAGCCAAACTTCAACATTAACTGTCGACTATGGTCAAGATCTAATGCTTCTGGTTTTCCATCTGTCATTCGAAAAACATATCACACAATGATCTAAATTTTATGTCAATGTTCCATTGAAATTATCTTCTTGAACACCGATACTCCCAATTATCAAACTGAATATTTACTTGTATTTGAACTCTTTGCAATATTTGACTCTACCATTTCATATTTCTTTCAATTGTCTTTTTTTGGTTTCTGTGATCTATCCTGTCATTTACCTTCCTGGGTGTTCATTATCACTGTCTTTTTGAGGCACTACTCTCTCTGGTGTCAATGACCTCTCTTCTCTTTGCAAATTGTCTTTCCAACAAAATTTCCCCTACCACTCCTCCTTCCCCATGTCTTCAACCATTACCTAAAAACTGATGGTCCTATAATTCCTCCCTGTCAGGCCTCTGACCCAAGCTTTCAGCCTGCATATTACTCCTATTAGACAACTTAACTGGACTGTTCTAAGTGCCATCCACAATTTACACCTACCCTGACCCAAGATGGAAAACTAGAACACATCCAGACTCCCATTCTCTCACTCTGCTCTCATATCCTACCAGCCTATGATGGCTTACTGATCCTACTTCTAAATAAGTGTTTATTTCTTCCACGACCTTAGTTCATTCCTCATGTGTAGAGCAAGAAACTAGCTTCTGCATTATCCAGATTAGTCTGTGTGTTATAACAAAGGATGTTTATAACAAATGTTGCAAGAAAAACATTAGTGATATAGCACCATAAAGATTTATTCCTTGCTCATGTCACAGTCTCTTGCAGGCTGTAGAACAGAATCTACTCTCCTCTGATAACCAGGTTTCTTTCATCTAATGGCCACCTGATCTCTTAGGTGCATGGAGTTCCCCATCAGACCCCGGCTTTCACCTGATAGGCAGATGAGAGGACAGAGGGTAAAGTTTCATTACAGGCTTGCTCTATATACAATGATGGAACAGGGACAGGAGAGCTACAATTAAAACTCTCATTCAACAAAGGGACTGCTAGGACAAACTTCACTAGTCCACTTCAATTCTGAAATCACTATGGAAGTCCACTACCCTCAGGAGAAAGTCACTTGATTAAACTAATTCTCTCTGAATAATTCCTTTGTCCCTTTCTTCTTTAGCCCTCTTTTCTTTAGGGTTTCTTATTGTTTATTTAATCCCCTTGGCCAGAGTTGAAATAAGTAAATCCAAACATTTTAAAGCTAGTAAATAATTTTATACATCAAGGAGTCAAAGATGTTCAATTTGATATTTTGAATTTTTTCACAATGAAGTTCTGCAAAAATTTGTTCAGCTCATGTTGTATTTGCTTCCATGTTACACTCTCTAGCATTTCTCTTCCTCTCTCCCCCTCTCCACCTTTCTTCTTCCTTTTATCTGATCTTGACCATAGAACCAAGTCATGTTGTTCAACTAAAAACTCTGACTGGGTCCTTTATGTCTTCATTTGGGATCTGGAACCAGTTGAATTTCCAACCATTTCTCTAAAAGTCTTTGGACTCTCTGTTGTTTTCTATTCAACCTGGAAAATGGTCAGTTCTTTCTGAGATCATTTCTTCCTGGAAACACCTTACCAAGAGCCGTCACACACTTACACTCTGATTCTTTTAAATACATCTTCTAGGGGCTGGGGTTGTGGCTCAGCAGTAGAGCATTCACCTAGTATGTGCAAGGCCCTGGGTTCGATCCTTAGCACCAAATATAAATAATAAAAAATAAATAAAGGTATTACATCCAACTACAACTAAAAATAAATATTTAAAAAATTAAATAGAATACATCTTCTAAATTAATGGTCCTCATAATGTGATCTGCAAAACCCAGTAAATCCCAAACCCCTTTAGTGAAATCATGAGATCAAAGTTACTTTCAGAATAACACTAAGAGGTTACTGGACTTTTTTTTTTTTTTGCGCATTTGAACTCATGGTGCAAATGTAATGATAGGAGAAATTGTTGGTCTTTTAGAACAAATCAAGGTAATATCACCAAATTGTAGGATTATATTGATCACTAAAAATGTCTATTGGATCATTTCATCACCATGTTCTCAGTTTTAAAAACAAGTTGAAGTTAAGATGACTCTGATGAAAAAGTAAGGGATTTACTTTACCAATCTAAACACTTGAGTATAGATCTTTTAAATATTCTGTTGGACCAAAAGCAAAGAACACATACAGCACTTGAGTTGCATACCCAAGTACAATGGTTGCCTTGAGAAAAAGCAATGTATGATTGTTTGAGTTGCAAACTGATTCATCTCTTTTTCATAGAGCACCATTTTTACTTGAAAGAACAAGTGATAAACAAAATATGGTTATTCAGACTTGGGTACTTGGCAGTTGCTTTCTCGAAAATAAATGAAGTGAGCCTGTCACTTGAAGGCAAACAACCTTACAGTATTTGTTGCCAATGATAAAAATCTAAGCTTTCAAGTAAAAATTAGAATTTGGAAAACTTGTATACACCACCATGAGCTTGACAGCTTCTGAACACTTAAAGACTTTTTTCATGAGATCAATGGCAATATTAACAAATGTGATTTTTAAAAAATTTTACATAATGAAATTCACAATGGTATAACTCAGTAAAACAGTATTTTCCAAGTAACCAATGTAAGACATTACAAAATCATACATAGTAAAAGATTTATTTTAAATGAAAATAAGTCAATAGATTTTAATGTAATCGAATGTGAAAGTTCATTGATATGGTTTTGGATTTCACATTGCAATGAAATTTTAAGAAATTATCACTTGGGAACTGTACTCAGTAGAAGAGCATATGCTTAGTGTGGGCAAGGTCCTATACTCAATCCCCAGCAAAGAAAGAAAGAAAGAAACTATCACTTGTTAAGTTGGGATGTAGTATCATAGAATATCTGCAGTTATCTAAAAAGACTAAAAATATGTTCCTTCAAAAGGAGTATGGGTCTTGATTCTAGATGTCTTCTATTCGGATAGACAATAAAGGGTTTTGAAAAAATATAAAATGATGCCATTCTTTTCATTTTTTGCAATGCAATTATAATAAAAAATGTTACTGATGTTAGCATAATGGATGTATTATTATTTGACTCATTAATTTTTTAAATTTCTCAGTTTAATTTTATTATTGTAATTCTTGCTAAATATAACACATAAAACACATAAAAGCTTTTTGTGAGCTTCAATAGTTTTTTAAAAGGATAAAGGAGTTCTGAGAACAAAAGTTGGAAAATACCTGTTCTAGAAAGGAGATCGTCAGACTTTGGCCTGAAGGTAAATACCAGCTTGCTGTCTGTTTCTTAAATAAAGTCTTATTGGAACCCAGCCCAGCCATTTGCTTACATGTTGCCATGGCTGCTCTCCCAATGTGGTAGAATTAAGTAGCTCCAACAGAGATTGTATTACTTTCAAAGTCAAAACCTGAAATATTTATTATCTTACCCTCTGCAGGAAACACACACACACACACACACACACACACACCACTGACCCCTACCCTATACTTTTGGTTTAATCTTAGCTGCACAGTTAGAATCACCCAGAAAACTGGTTAATCCCTCTGCATCCAACCAGCATATGAAAGAAAAGAAAGAACATAGAGGATTATGTAGGAGGCATTTCATGGGCAAGGTCTGGAAAGGCATACATAACTCCCTTGGCCAGAAATTAATTACACTGATCATAACTAACCAAAAGAAGGTGCAAAATATAGTCTTCCTCTCTGCTAAAGAGGGAAGAAATAGTGAACTTATTTCTCTGGACTGATGTTTGAGATAACTCCTAAGGAAAAAGTAAGGATTTTCCAGGTAGACAAGGAGTAGAGAGGACAGAAAGTTTCATAATGGGGCTGGGGTGATCCTAAAAAGAGCCATGGAATACTTATGGAATCTCAGAAGAATTTTTATGAATTAATTATATTAGAAATCTTAAAGAGATTTCTTTCTTTCTTTCCCTCCTCCCCTCTCTCTCTCCTCTTCCCCCCCCCCTCTCTCTCTTTCTTTCTTTTTCCTGACAAAACTGCAAAGAGAGCATGTTATATAGGCTGGCTGCAGTTAGATCAGGCAGACACCGTATGGCATGCAACTTCTAGATTCCCTCTTCTATTTCTCATTATGAAGTTTAAAACATCCAACTTGAGGGGCTGGGGTTGTGGCTCAGCAGTAGAGTGCATGCCTAGCACATGCGAGGCCCTGGGTTCTGTCCCCAGCACCACATAACATAAATAAATAAATAAAATAAAGGTATTGTGTCCAACCACAACTAAAAAATATTTAAAAAATTCCAATTTGGTATTTATTTTATTGAATTACAACTTGACCTTTCTTTGCCCTCATTATTTTAACAGGTTCACAAAGAAGTTTCTGGTACCCTTCCTCTTAGATAAAGGTTGAGAGTTTTTATTTCATTCATTTATTTTCTCGAAAAAAATTTATCAAACGTGTACTTCAATAGAACTTAATTCTGCAGGAAAACTGATAGTAACATAAAACCCCCAAAGGAAAATGGACAAGTTTCTAACCTTCGTTTCCAATATCGTTCCAGCACAGATCTCCTGTTTATTTCAAAGAGCAAACCAAAATGAGGAGGAAAACAGAGAAAGTGATAATCACATTGAATATTGCTACCAAACAAGGATTTTGCATGTTCCTCATTAGCTAAATTTCTGCAATTTCCTGAATGTGTAAAGGTATAGCAGACCCATAACTTCAACAAAGACCTGTAACAACCTACCAGTGGACAGAGTTTATATGAATCACTTCATGTGTATGTGTTTATTTAATTTGCCTACAACAACTGRAGAAAAATCAGCCCTTTCATAAATATTTCAAGTTTAAGACATGAAATTTACATTGTAAAGCTACTTTATTGTAATTCCTTTTTCTTGAAAAAGAGCACTGGTTTGTTTCATATGCTAGCATTCAAGAGTGTTCCATGTAAGATTCATAGCCAACTTAATTATGTGGACATGAATCTTTCCCATAAATTAAATATTCCTAAATCTGGACATCTTTTGTTAACTATAGTGTTTAGTAATATATTTTACTCAATAATATATCTTTTACTTATGAATTGTGGTCTTCTAAATAATTTACTATTCATAGGATTAGTTGGTTTTTTGGCAGTATTAAGATTGAACCCAGGGCTTCCTTTCTGTGAATTACACCCCCATCACTTTTTTAAAATTTTGAGACAGGATCTTGCTAAGATGCTGAGGCTGCCATCAAACTTGGGTTGCCCCTGCCTCAGCCTCCTAAGTAGCTGATTACAGGGGCCACTCTATATGCTGTAAAGAATATTTTATATGATTCCTGTCCATTTTATGGAGGTTAAACCATCCAATGGTGCCCAATTTTAATATATTTCAAGCATTTCTGGAACAATTATTTTACACCTAGTAGACTGAAGAAAATTTTATAAAGAAAGGCTTATACAATAATTATCAGTGGTTGATACAGTAAAATTTATTCTGACCACGGGTACATAATTTTTAATGTACAAATCCCCACTGTCAATAAATGAAATTTTTCTGAACCTTTTCTCTTTCATCAGGAACTTCCTTCAGCATCTGGCATGCATTGGACTCCTGCTTTCCCTGTGGCTTTGTTCTCCTGCATGCTGAATATTAATAGTAATTATCTATTGTCCTCATCCTTACCTACCAACACATAATCAGCTCCCCGTGGGCATTGATTCTGTACTATGGAGTCTAACCTTCTAACCACAGTGGTACTGAGTAACCAGGGAATTATCCCCCTAGGAGAACAGGAGCTCTCTTCACCTCTGAGTCAATAATCATTAGAAGCAACCAATATATTGTCAAGCTTAACAAATCACAATTGGGATAGAGACCATTGCAATGAGGAAGTCGAAATTATCCAGCAATTATGTATAGATATATCTATTCTTCTAATGATTGAGTCACACAAAATGTCCCTACACTTCTGCTAAACTTAATCTGGAAGGTTTCTAAAACTTGTTTTCTTTTTTTGTTTGTTTGTTTTAATGTAGATTTCAGAATCCTAAGAAGCAATTGCATCTGAATGAAATAGTAATGACAAAATTTATGAAGCGGAAAGAAGAGTAATTCATTCACCTAACATGAGCTTAATTTCTTAAAGGGGGGAAGGGAAATTTCCAAGTTCTCTCCCCTAATAGAAGATGGCCTGAACTGCCATGAAATTTTTAGCTGTCAGAAGAGTGCCCACTTTAGCAAATAATGAACATGAATACCTAACATTTTACGAATGCTTTTAGCTACAAGGTAATGAACAGAAAGCCTGACTAGAGTGGCTTTAAAAAATTAAGGAGCATTTTTCTCCTATAATGAGAAGTCCAGARTTAGCAGTGCATGGCTTATTCAGCAGATCAGTGATGCCAAAGAGTTTGAGATCTCCTTGACCTTGTTCTCACAATTACAACAAGTCTGTTGCAGCTTCCACAATTATATCCCCTTTCCAGCAAGAAGACAGAGGATGAAGCCGATAAAGGGAATTGCCAATATCTGAAACTAAGTTTTATGAGGAAGCTCCAGAAAATTTCTGTTTATATCTCTTTGGCCATAGTTTTGTTCCAGAGTCACTCCTGGCTGAGAGATGGCCAGAGAGAGGAAATGCAAAGAAAAAAGCAAAGGCAGCTCCTGGCATCCAGACATTGGCCAGATACTCATACCCAGRCACTGATGTTTAGAAGAGTGTTTTAATTTTGATCTGAAATATCCCCCCAAAACCCATGTGCTAAAGGCTTGGTCACCAGCCCAGGGTGCCTATCAGGAGGGGGAGAAACCTTTGGGAAGTTGGGCTAAATGGAAGCAAGTTAGGACATTGGTGAATGCCCTTGGAGGGGATTTTGGCCCCTTTCTCGTTTTGCTTCCTGGCCTCCATGAGGTGAGCAGCTCTTCCACCATGTGCTCACACAGGCTCGAAGCAACAGAGCCAAGAAAACATAGACTGGAGCCTCTGAAACCATGAGCCAAACAAACCTTTCCTCCTTCAAGTTGATTTTCTCAGGTATTTTGTCACAAAGACAGAAAGTTGACTAACACAAAGTGTTAACCCAGCTTTCACAAATAGTCCTTGGAGATCTCCTGTTCAACAGAAACAGGTTTCCATATCACCAATATTGGTGAACATGGTGAAGAAAGGAGGATGACAAACCCAATTAAGCATCTTGTTGAACAAAGAGACATGGTTATTGTGCCACCACAAAAATACCAAACATCTGAGCACCCTGGCTGATTTGAGGAACTTGCTTTTCTTCCAACTTTGCCTTCTGCGTTGCTTTACTTCTGCCATCTTAGAGATGTTTAAACCAGAGCTATCCCAAGTTCCTGAAAGCGTCCAATCCAGAGCAAAACCACTTTAAATTTTCCTTCTGAATCAACTATGTCCATGCTTTCAGACACCCTCTTGCTAAAACACTACACACCACCACATATGTGGTGTGCAGTCTCCTTTTACTAATTCCAGTAATAATTCAAACTCCTTCAACTCTCAGTATGTTCCTGGTGATMTTTGGCTGGTTGATAGCACATTGAGTGGACCAAATAAGTATTTGTCACTCTTTTTTTCATCCAAGTCCATTTTTAACTAAAATGATGTGCTTTAATATGGCATGCTTCAAACTCCTTAACAAAAAAGAAATCAAGATAGAGCTAACAGAGCATATGATGAACATTCAGAGGCTAAGGCTCTTGTCAGCTCTATCCTATTAATAACACAAGTGACCCTGGGCAAGCCATTAAAGGAAAGAAGAGAAACTGACCTCACAACATCCAGTGAACCTGCCAGCATTAATATGCTTGAGAGATGAAAAAAATAAATCTCCAAATAATTAAGTACTTTATTCTTCTATTTACATTTGTGAGCGGTAAAAAATCGAGATTCAAACCCAGGTATGTAAGTCTAAATTTGAAAACCTTTTCATTTCACTGAATTGCCTCATGAAGTCTGAATTCCTTCTCTATGAACTGACTAGGTTGTTGCACTAGGACTTAAAAGGCCCTTTCCATTCATCATGCAAGGATTCTGAATGATGAATGATAATATTTATATTTACTCTTTTTAGCACCACCTGATCTGTAGATGAAAGGTGCAAGAATAATGTGAGGTGATATATGTTTATGGAATCTTGAATTTCAGCAAGCCCTTTTCTAAACAGCATAAATCATGGATTTGATCTACCACTTGAACTTCCACGTGAAATCAATTTTCGGTTCCTTATAATTTAAAAATATGAACACCTCACTTAAAGAATGTGTGAGATGCTGTACAAAGAGGAGCTGGGAAAAGGGAAGACTTACCTTGATTTTTATCCAAGGAAGTAGCTTCATTTTCTATACTTAAACCTTAACATTTGCACAGTCACATGGAACATCTTCACCAGGAAGTGACAGACAATATAGGAAAACATGATCAATCACACGATTAGGAAAAATAAAAGCTGTATGTGTTTTATCAATTAAGTAAATAGTCTTAAAGGAAATAATAGCAGTGTTGAGAAGCTGGAAAAACAGGCACTGAGTTACTAGAGGATGGAATGGCATTTTGTAACTTTCCTTTTGGATAGCAATTTGCAATTGGCAACAAACACTTCTAAGATTTTTGCATATCACATTTGACCCACAATTTCATTCAAAACACAATTATAGATGTGTGCAAAGATTTTCTTTTACAAAAATGTTTGTAGAAATATTATTTATAATTGGCAAAAATCAATACAAAGCTAAAAGGTTTATAATAGAAGATTCTTTAAATTACAGTTTATTCATGTAATGGAAACTTGTGTGGGTATTCAAAATAAAATAAAATTATATGTGCAAGTCAAAATAAATTTCTTGGTTGAAAAAATGTAAATTACAAATACATTATTGTGTTTTTCGCTTTATATGTGAATATGGGTACAAAAGCAATTTAAATAGAATAGTTATCTCTGGTGAAATTTTGTTCTTTTTATCCATGTTTTACAAGTTTTCTAATAGGAAGATAGATTACACTTAAATATTTTTAAAATTGTATTAAGTGACATTTTGAAACAAATACTACTAGAGCTCCATAAGAATACACTATTCACTAATTCAAATACTAAATTTCCTGTCCCTTCAAATAATAAGCAAAAAAAAAAAAAAAACCATCCCTGATATACAGAAGCACTCTCCATGATGGGAACAAGCTCATAGATGCCAAGCCAAGGGCCATCTTTTTTCTCAGAACCATAAATGTCCTTGTCCTTCAAGGTTCATTCTCAATAGTTRCTTCAATTATCTTTTCTGCTTTAAATTGGAAGCCTAGTTTAATGGGAATACTATAGGTATAAACTTATAATTTTCAAAAAACAAAATAAAAGTTACTTAAATTACAAAAATTTTTATCATGATATTACCCATGTGGGTTTTTGAAAGGAATCTGTTTACTTAAAGTACTTCTTTAACTAGTTGCATGTCCATAGTAGTGTTTTTTTAGGCCAATGCAATACTGCAGCCAACAATTGTGCAATGGTCCTTGGAGAAAGATGGTATTGCAGGAAGAGGCTGTTTTCAGTTCTTCTTTTTCCTTGGGCATTTTTTTAAAAAACAGGAAGGGCCATTAAAAATCATYATAAAAAAAACAGATGCCTCATCTCACTGCCACATTAATAGCATAATTTTAAAATCTCCTGATATGAGAAGTTGAAGAATTAATTTGTCAGCATTTCTATTACAATAGCTGCCTTACATTGGTTTCCTGTTCTTTCTTAGATTCTTTAATATGCATTATCTTATTTAATCCTCACAGGCAATACAAAGCAGATATGATCGTCACTGTTTTACAGAGGAAAAAAATTAAATTATTCAAATTGTTTAAATTTTCTGAATCTCAAAGTTTAAATAACTTTAACAAAATCACACAGCCAGAAAGAGAATCAAGATTGAAACACAGGTCTCTCCGACTCAAGTCCTATATTTTATCCATTATGTACCCTGAACTCATACCTTTCTGACTAGATTCTTTGAGTTGACTTTTTTCCATTTGTTGGCTATTGAAAACCTCAGAAAATACATCTCCTCATATTGTAGGATGCACTATTATGAAGTTATTCAAGCTCACAATTCTGAAATTCCCCCAATATAAGGTTTTATATATGATCAGTGAATATGAATCTGTAAATGGTGGCTTCTTCCTCAGTTTTAGATATAAAAAAATGTCTCTCTATAGTAAAATTGCAAAGTAAAACTCCAAGTTTTCCAGTCTATTTTTTAATTCTTCATCCCAGTATATTTAACTTTTCTCACAATGTTTATTCTGTCCAAGGGATTAACATTGATTACTCTCATYGTACCAATAGATTCAAAACTACGCATTCCCCTTTAGGTTGGTGGTCTCCATAATCATTGTTGTTCCAGAAACTCTTTCCATGTGGCTGTGTTGTGTTGGATGCCAGATTCTTGGTGTTTGTGCCTGATGCAATCCCAAGGTGCCCTTTGAATGGATCCCACACTCTGCGGTCTCTTGCATCTTAACTCACCACTGTGGCTACCACTAGAGCCAAGGGAAAACAGAGATGGACTCATATTGAGACATCTACTGTGACTTGCTAGGCTTCCAGCTCAGACTATAAGAAAAGATAATTTATGTCAAACTGGGTTCTATTCCCAAAGTTTCGAGTCCTTGGATTCACTCATATATCCACTTCCATTAAGCAAAGTGATTATTACAATATTAGGGTAAAGCTCATTGGAGAACAAAAACAAACCTTCCCTTCATACAGTTTCCCATGCACTGGTTCAACTTAGTCACACCCTCCTCATATTTTCTTCATCACAGCATTTCTTTGCACTGGAAGTACATCCTATAGGTTTTAATGATTTTTAAATGAAATAGGAAAAGTGTCTTAAGGTTGAGGCTTTCTCTAGGAGGTCCCCCTGCTCCAGGGAAATGTCTAAGTAAGTAGGCTGCCCAACTTTTTTCTAACAGGACTTAAGTTCTGAGCACCAGTGATATGCCAGATAGAGTCATTTGATTCAGCCAAATGCCTGATTCCAGGGTATTTGCGTGAGTGTATTCAGTTACAAAGTTATATTGCTTTAGTTAGTTTGGACTTTGATATTAAAAACTAATATTTAGGTGGCCTGAGCATCCAAAAATTTAATTCTCACAGTTCTGGCAACCAAAAATCCAAGATCAGGGTGCCTACATGGTCAGATTTTGGGTAAGGGTCCTCTTCCTGGTTTATAATCTTGTATCTGCATATATTGGACAGCAAAGAAATAAAGAAAAACACTCTGGTCTGTTCCTATAAAGAAATGAATCCCATTCTAGCTCTTTCACCCTCAAGGACTTAATTCCTGCCCAAAGGACCCATTTCCAAATACCCTCACATTGGAAATCAGGGTCCCAACACACAAACTTCTACATGATAGGTGTGGACCCCATTAGAAATATAAACATTACAAGGATTTTCAATCACATTTTATTCAACTAGGTAAAAGTGGAAGTCTTGAAATATAATCAGAGATAACCATGTGGGAAAGAAGGTGGCAAGAGCATTCAGTCTATATGACATGTATTTACACATAGACCAAAAAGAAATCTGTGGGTTTGAATAGTTATCAGAGCCACAGCACAGTTCCACAAGGGCCTGTATGAGGCAGAACTCCAAGAAGAGCCAGTCACAGGGACTCCACTGTCCCTGGCACCCCTGTTGCCTTTCGAGAAACTTCCCTGATAGTTATCCCTCAGGAAGATAGATGATAGGAGGTGATCTTATTGAGTTAATCCAGTTGGTCATGCCAGAGTCCAGGTGAACCCTTTATGGAATTTAAAATCTCTCTTCCTTTTTTTCTTTCATGTGCTCCCCCCTACCTCCTAAAAAAGTACTGGCAAACACTGATTACTACTCGCATGGGAAGCTTAAACACATACCTACGCACAGTCTGCACTTAAACTACGGTGCTAAAGTAGCATATTCAATTTTACATTGACTTCCCTAGAACCATGTAATGTTTCAGTTTAACCTCTTTTATGCAGAAGACATTCTGATAGCAAAATGTGTGAATTAATCAAAAGAAAAATGCATGTAATCATTAAAAAAACTTATTTCTGGAGTGAAGTATAACTAAAATGTACCACTTACTTTGTTTACATTTTAATTGTGTTTGCCTAAAACATTTTTATTATAAGCTAGCACACTGGAGGAAAGGACAGGAAAAGAGCCCAATCTTTATTCGCAAATATTTTTTTTTAAGACCTGCAGTAAACTACTAGTCAGTTTCTAAATCCCAGTGGTGAGAAGGCGGTTTTAACAACAACAAAACACTTCAGCCAGACTAAAACTTGCCAGATGGATCTTCATTCCTATGACAAGTTTAAACTCTTCCACTCCATCCACCATCCACTCACATTATGGTGATGGGAAAAAATAAATAAAGCTTCAATTCAAAGTCAAATATTCATATACTACAACAGATTTGAGTGCAAGTCACTAGAGCTAGTGAGAGAGCTTTCTGTTGTGATCAAAACCCACAACTAAGGAAAATTAAACTTCCTATAATTTAATAAATTACAGAAGGAATACCTGTAATTACCCACATAAATGATGACCAAAATATTTGCCCTTTGGGGGCTGGATTGCTTTTAGAGGGAGGCAGCCCTGTTGGCCATGCTCGAGAGAGAAGGCATGTTGACACACAGGAAAATGATAGCTAGTGAGGAATGGAAAGCACTGAAAATAGGATTTTTTAAAGAAACCTGAAAAACAGGACATGGCTGTTTTCTATAAGGAGATTCAACACGCCTAACAAAACAAGAAGCTACCTGTGACAGCTAAAATTATTCCTACACACACACCCCTTCTCACTAAGCTTCTCAAACACATCAGCTAGCAAATAATAATCTGGAGTGAACCAGATCTGCTCTGTTTTCCTGTAAATCAAATCTAAAACCCATCCCTACAAAAACAGGTGAATTCTAAGGGCCCTGGAAGCTAAGAATGCCTTTACCTGGACAACTGGCAGAATCTCCAAATACCAATCCTGTCACACACAAAAAAAGGTTTCATTTCTGTTCAGCTAAATTAGACATATGATAGAAATAGCATACATTACTTCTATARTTAGTCACCCAAAATAATCAGCCTCTGTTGTATAAAATTTGCTATTTAAGAGATATTTGAAAGCAAGCAGGCTTAAAATATGTTAGAACATGTCCGGTCAAGCAGCTTAGAAAATGTTATTTTTACCCTGAGTTTAGTTTGCACATTCATTATTCCAGGTGGGTGGTTCATCAGCATCCTCTAGCACTACAAAATCCTCATCCAAGACTCTTCCACCTAAGAGCAAAATGTTTCTCCTTTACTGTAAACAATACAAAAATTCCAGAGACCAAAGTCCCAAACACATTCCTAAAAAGCCTCTTGCCACCTTCTTCCCCCCATGGTTATCACCGACTCTATTCCAAGTATTCCACTTTGGCCTAGTTGAATACAAATGTGATCTGAAAATCCTTGTCATGTTTATAATTCTAATGGGTCAACACCCATCATGTAGAATCCACTATGAAACCAACCTAGGTATGTGTACATACCTAGGTATGTAGTACGTCTACATAATGGAGTTATCACTCATACTCCATAAAGAATTAAATTCTGG